AAGATCCACCACTGACTACTGTCGAAGATCCTGTGGTCCAAGCGAACAGATTTAACGATTTCTACGTTTCGGTAAAGGTGGCTGCATCCGCTAAAGCTAAGGCCCTATGCCATCACAATGGCTTCTAAGTTGAGTCAGTCGAGCTCGTGGTGCCAGCTGCGGACGATCTCAAAAATACGAATAAATTTGAGTTTCATGCTGTGACGGAACAGGACACTGAAAAGATTGTCAAGCATATTCCATCAAACAAAGCGCCCGGGCTTGATAGAGTATCCGCTAGAGTGCTTAAAGACAGTCTACCAGTCACCCTGCCCATTATTACCAATCTGATTATTACTTCGTTCGCATCCAATTGCTTTGCACAGGTGTGGAAGTCCGCAGTGGTCATCCCAAACCTCAAATCCGGCGATCTAGATCACCCTGAAAACACCCGTCCTATATCCCTCCTACCGATAATGTCAAAGGTATGCGAGAACTGCTAACACGCAGTTTATGGACTTCTTGGATAAAATTAGCAAGATATCCGGCTTACAGAGTGGAAATAGAAAGTTTTACTCCACTGAAACCGCCCGACTACACTATACTGACCATCTCCTTCAGAATATGGATGAAAACGAATATCTGTTGTTGTACTACTTGACATGTCTAAAGCTTTCGACAGCATCCAACACGAAAACTTACTATCGAGGCTGCACCTACTGGGTGTGTCTGACCCCACTCTGGCCTGGTTTAAGAGCTACCTATCATTACGCAAGCAAGAGGTCAGGATCGGCAGTGTCCTATCCGACCCCTCCCACAGACAGTAGGTCTGGCATAGGGGTCCATTCTCGGTCCAGCTTTGTTCACGTTGTACGTCAACAACCTCCACTCTGTTCCGAAGAAGTGCGAAGCAGTGGGCTATGTAGACGACACCAAGCTGCCATTCCTGACCTCAATAGCGTATCACAACCAATGCAAAAATTATCCCTACCTCATGTTGTCCTATTGGGGAAGAATATTAAGTCCTCTCCTGTTATCAAAGACTTGGAGGTCTGGATAGACTCTGCCTTAACCTTTGACGACCACGTATCTGAACTGTCCTCGAGCTGTCTGTATAGTCTACGTCGCATCAATAGAATTAAACATCTTTTGGACAACAAAACTCTTGTCTTAATTATCAATACTCTTATTTTCAGCAGGCTTTTCTATTGTTCTACCGTATGGGGTTATACCTCCAGCAAAAACATTTCGAAGCTCCAACTCATTCAGAACTTCGCTTGCAGAATAATCCTAGGTATCAAAAAAATTTGCTCATGTCTCTGCTACGCGCCAATCCCTTGGTTGGCGAGGCGTCCGTCAAAAACTTCTATTTAATACCTTTACGATGGTCTATAAGTGTAGAACAACGCAGGTACCGCCATATCTTTGCGATTTATTTCATGACAGATTTAATGTGTCGGGACGCAACACTAGAGACATGTCACAGTTAAATCTACCTAAATGCAGATTATCAACTGGTAAACGCTCTTTCGCCTTTCGCGGGGCAAAAGAATACAACCTTCTCCCAGAAAACGTTCGGAACATAAATGATATTTCAAGTTTTATAAAAGGAAAGTGGCCCACTTTGTTTTAAACTCTTCTTAAATGTATCGAAACATATCTTTCAACCTGTATTTGAACTCATGTAATTATTTTGTTCGCAGCACATGTAAATATTTATTTATTATTGTATATTTGCTATCATGGTATATTACGACAGGATAGCCTCGTATATTATGGCCATAATAATAAAATGTATTGTATTGCAATTGTATTGAAGGCTTATTCTTCGATTAAGAGCAAGTGCAATTTGAAAATTTTTCATACAATTTTGACTGAACAACGTTGCGAAACGCAAGGAATCATGTTTGTTTTCGAAACAAATTATATTGTATACGCCATTTGGTAAGTCTTCGGTGCCAAGAGATTGTAAAGATCATAATATTTTGTCGGAGCAAATAACTTTTAACAGTTTCGCCGTTAGGAAAACGCTTATATGTTTCCTTTGGATTCATCCAAGCTTGATACTTTTTGGTGTTGTTTAAGTTGTTTCTTTATCTTAAATACCTGACGTTCGAAGGAGTGCAGTGCCAAATCTCGTATTGCCCTCTATATAATCTCTTCAAATCTAGATCATGGATATTTACACAAATATTCCACTTTTATTGAATTTCCTCAAGATGAGGCTTACAGGCTAGTCGAGATGCAACAATGCAGAAATAGCATAGAATTGTTGCACGAAATGTTGAACTAGACTGTCAAAGGGTTGGTCAGAATTTAAAAAAAAACACAAGTTTCAATAAAAAATATCTTGTTCCTGTTTGGAAAATATTATATAAATAGATAGGTTGTAGAATTCAATACGGGATTTCTGTATTGCTCTCTCTCAAAATAGATCCTTGTCGTAAATAGATACAACAACGTAAGTGCTAAAATGCTCCAAAAGAAGAAATGTAGGTAGCAATCCATTCCAAGAAAACGTAGCTTCATTTTCCAGACCTTTGAAAGTGTTTTGAGTACTGTGCATCCGT